GATATGTTCTGATCAATCGGAGTTGCAGTTCTGAAAGAGGTGAGGGAGGGTTGGTCCGACGGCATAAATGAACTTGCGTTGAGGCGGGGAGGAGTTATATTGGGGGAGTGTGTGTGTGTGTGTGTGTGTGTGTGAGGGAGGAATGATCAATCCGTAGTCATGCAAACCGGATCCTGAAAAAGAGGCAGTCTTGGCTTCAGTCACAGAGGGCGATTGTGGTGTTTATTGTATGGTCGTTGAGGCGGGTTCACCTGACACAGGATTTGGCTGTGCCTTGATGGATATGGTAAACGTCGAGACCAGTTGATGTTGGAAGTTAACTTAGTAATATTTTTTACTCAGTTGCGGTGGCAGCGGTGTGATGGTCAAGGGTATTCATAGCAAGTAGGTGGATGGTCCACAGGGGCGTGATTTCGTTTTAACCATTGTCCGCAGTGATTGTCGTCTGATGCTTCGGGGTATGTCTGGTAATGTCCATGAGCTATTGTGGAGTCCGCGCTTTAAGTTCCCGCACATGACCACAATCTCGCTCTGACACCCGCTGCGAAGAACGCAGGAGCGTCTCAGGAGCTCATCATAGTCGAAAATCGCTGGTTGACCACTCCGAGTCTCGCACCCTCAGTGGATGTACTGAAGTGTGTCAATTTTGGAGGTGCAACTCAGTAAAGTCGCTCAGGCCGTCCAGGTCGTGTTGACTCTGTTGTCAACATGTGCAAGTGCCGCTCCGTGAATTCGCTGATGTAGCACCTTATTTCTAGAAAGTCAGAGTGGTGAATTGCACGACACCACACTTCGCTCTGCGTGCAGGTGCTGGTTGATAGGACAGGTCCAAGACAGTTCAGCATAAACGTCTGTGAGGTCTCAAGGTGCGTGAAGGTGTCTGTGTCTGGATCAATCGCAGAAAAGTACAGCGAATCTTTATCTGTGGCCCGAAGGTGCTGAGCGCACTCAAATCACAGACGAATTTGCTTTGAATGCCTTGTTACTGCAGCAACTCGTCGGTAGTTAGTTGTCAACATTCTACTGTTCTCTATAAGTAGCTCCACTTGTACTCTTTCATTCGCGGTGTCCCAGCACTTCGACACTTTGTCGATGCTCGCGTACTGAGACCGCCATTTGATGAGCCGTGCACCATTGTTGCATTCTGAGCACAAGGAGTGCCATCAAGTCAAGTGCTGCGAAGTTGGTGAGTACCGCAAGCTACGACGCTAGACCATAGTCTGACGTGATTGTGTCGTCAGTTGGTCTTCGCATGCACCTGGACTCCACATCTCCAGTTGGTTCCTCGAATGTTACACGCACAGGGATGCATTCTAACTCTAGTTCGCCGCGCCGATTCGCGCAACTCCGAATCGAAAGCATTTCTTTACGTCCTCATTGTAGCAATAGCTGAACATGTTGAGTCGTTATTTATGTCCCGTTTTTCCGATTCGAATGAGTCCATCATGTGCTTCTCCTCTGAAGCAAGTATATTGCCGTGATATACTTTGTTGCAAGATAGACCACGATTACAGCGCGTGTTCTCGCATTGTGTCTTTGAATAGATTTGGTACTTGTATAGCGTATGTCAGGGGTCCATATGGCTGCCTTCATAAGACTACACTTTCTTTAGAAATTCTCTTGGTAAAGGTTACCGACCCATTGGTCCCATGTGAATCAGCGAGAACACCGCTGACAACGCGGTATTCCATATTTGATTGTCTTATGTCCATTCTTAGTGGCGATTGCGAAATGTGATGAGCCCATTTCGAGTAATACGTCACTTTGTGATTCTGGAGCATGTGTTCCAACGAATACCTCCGACTTGACTCTGCTTGCGATCGAGTACGTATGATGCGGGCATCTTTCCTTGTAGATGCTGCGGATAGCGCAAATCCATCTCGGAGCCAAACTAGGAAAATTTATAAATATAACTTTCGTTTCGTGCAGAGCCCACATTCTGGATCTGAACAGTACTACTGTAAGACTTTCTACTCATGAGTGAGACTGGCTCCTTCAGACTACAGCTTATCTGAGGTCGCCATCTAGATTTGAAACTTCTCGAATAGAATTTGGACTGATCGCTCTTCTTATTTATTTGGATGTGCAGCAACTGATTCTGATTGCCAGCCTCGGTGGTTACTCCACATGAGCACCTTCTGATCCGCAGAAGAGTACGTGCTGTAGAAGGTCCGAGTGATTGGTGGGGAGACCTCCGCCCCCCAGCAGTTGCATGAGCATGATTTTAGTGCTCCGGCTGCAAAAAAACCACCTAATCTCCCAAAAACTTATCTCACCATGCTGAACATGCATTATTGCGCGGTCGTATGGATCAAGTAGTTCTCTTCACATGACAAGAATTGTAGATTGGAGAAGAACGCAGTTTGATCCTGCTAGGTAGGGAGGGGACTAGTCTATAAGATTCGTTCTTTGTTTATGTTTTCTGATCTTGACTGTTCAGGAAAATCGTAGACGACTCACCGATCCCCATTTCTGCTTCTAGTTAGAACACCTTCAAAGATTTCAGCACAAATATTCAAGGTTTCCAGCAGTGATACTCAGGCAGGTGAGAGATTATAAATATAAATGGCGGGGTCCGGCATGTCTCCGTGCGCGGCTTGCAAGTTGCTAAGACGAAGATGTACTCGTGATTGTGTGTTTGCGCCATATTTTCCTCCCGACGAGCCTCAGAAGTTCGCAAATGTCCACAAGGTTTTTGGTGCGGCCAATGTGAATAAGATGCTTCAGGTATGACGCTAATGCAGTCAAAATCCTTCCCTTCTCGTTCTTGCTTGTTTTCTGTCGACACTTACATCTTACATGTAATCGATGTCAGGCGTCTCTGGGACCTGTACCAGAATCTTTCAAATACGTCAATCTTGATGTACTCGACTGGAGTATTTGAGAAGAAGTACACACAAGCGGATATTAGCCAGCCTGAAGATTAACAGCCAGATCACCGCATATTTCCTTTGTTTTAAACTCATTCTGAATTTTCGAGGGTTTAAGATTCGAAAGGCATTCAGTAAATTCTTCATTATTTTCAGAGTCCTGATTTGCATAAATTGTTGTTTTCCTCGAAACCAGGAGCTGCCTGTGGAGGCGCGAGGAGATGCTGTAAGTTCCATGGTTTATGAAGCTGATGCACGCGTTCGAGATCCTGTTTATGGTTGCGTTGGAGCTATCTCCTCTCTTCAACAGCAAGTGGCACATTTACAAACCCAACTGGCAGTGGCCAACGCAGAGATCGTGTGCATGCGCATTCACAATACTGAGTCTAGTTCCGATTGTGGCACTCCGCATCACATGCAAGGCTCCTACCAGCAGGGCTTGTCACCTCCGTTGCAGCCGCAGTCGCCTGAACTTCACCATTACCACAAACCCACGGCCTACTACCACCGCATGGACAACTCGGAGCTTGCGGAGCTTCTATGGACATGACTTGGTTCTACTTTCCTGACTAGTCGATCAATATTTTCGGACCTTTTTGTGGGATGTTGTACTTATACCTCGGATCTCTTCCTCGTGCAAGCATTTTCGCCGTATTCGTAACCTGATACCAACTGGAATTCTGCTGTGTTAGTTTCACCGTTTTGTTCACTTTCGGTACCTCGCCCGAACTACGTCGCGACTTGTAGAGAAACTTGTCCCGGTTCAGTGGCGGTGAAGATGACGATCAATCATCATCATCATCATCTTTCTTGTACATGTACTTTGTGTGTAAAAGAGCTACAGGGCATACGATTCTTTTTCCCTTTAGACTTCAGCTGTGAACTTCGGCTTCCATCCCCATGCCTCTGTCTCCGGAAGATTATCACGAGCTTGCAGCTTGTTGTATGAGACCCTCCAGAGAGACGTGCATGGAGTGATTACTTAGTTTTTCTGGGTATGGTGTAGCTTTGATTAGTGTGAACTGCGAAAATGTTTACCAATAGCCCCTTGTATTTGTTTTATTCTATAAATATTAACTACATTCATTGTTGGCCCGTATTTTTTTATAATTACGCTACGGAATGCGGAAAGCTATGCTTAAAATACCTTCAGGCTTCACCCACCGAAGCTGTGGCAGCACGTCAGTTTATCATATTAAGAGAATGTCTGATGCAGTGCTCGGTGCAGCTGAAGTTAAAGCCCAACGCAATGAACATTCTACGAACTTTGAGTATGTTCATTGCGAGGTGACTTAAATGACAATTTACTTGCGATTTCTGCATAATCCTAAAACCCTAAGTTTGAATCTCCGGTTACTCACAAAATTTAGCAGTCTACAGTCCACACGCGGAATAGAATCTTGGATAAACTAATTCAACATAAGCCAGCTTGTTCGGAGGTGCGTCA